GCCTCGGCCTCCCAGAGAGCTAGGATTACAGACGTGAGCCACCGCGCCCGGCCTGTGTCCTTGTTTTTAGTGAAGAATAACATACATCTAGTGAAGTGCTAAGCGTACACGTGCAGCTACCACCCAGATGAAGACAGTGGGGGCTCCTCCCTGTTGCCCCTTTGGGGCGGTGCCCTCCCAAAGGTAACGCCTGTCCTGATCTCTATCACCACTGGTTAGTTTTGTCTGTCCTAGAACTTCATAAAAATGGAGTTACACAGTATGTTCTATTTGGCTTAAGGCTTCTTTAGCTCAACACCAAGTTTCTGAGATTCATCCGTGTTCCCGCATACCCCAGTCTCCGGCTCTTCCCCAGGGCCGCGTGGTATTCCATCGGATGAGTGAACCACTCTTCCTTTTTTCCATTCCCTTCTCTTTTTTTCCTTAGCAGCTGCCGCTCCACTCACGTCTTGATGGATATTGGTACTATTTCTCAGTTTGATCGTGTTAGCATTATGATAGCATTTGCTATCATTAATAGCAAATCCGATCATGTCCCCTGGCTGATTTAGACGCCCTCAATGTTTCTCCAGTCTTCTCAGAATTAGTCCAAATCTCTTCTCAGGGCCTGCAATGCCCTGAACAGTCTGGCCCCTGCCTGATCTTCTGCCTCAGTTTCCACGATTGCTCCTTGAGCCCTCTGAGCTCCAGGTATGCTGCTCTCCTCTCCGCGTCTGCATGGTCCGTGCTACCCGCCACCTCTAGGCCTTTGCACGCACTGCTCCCTCTGCTTGTAGTGTGCTTTGCCCCGTCTCTGACCCGCGCCACCTGGCTAAGTCCTGCATGTCTTTGAGGTCACATCTCAAATTACCTACTCTGGGAAGCCTTCACAGACCAGCCCCCCTTCTAGACTCCACACCTCCTTGTAGCTCCCTACACTTCTTCCTCATAGTCCCAGTCTCTGTTGTAAATGACAATTTGTATGATTATTTGAGTAACATCCGTCGCTCCCATCACACTGTGAGCTGTGCGAAGACAGGCACTGGTTCAGTCTTAAGCTCCAACGTCACCCAGAGCAAAGACAGGCACACTGTAGATGCTCATTAAACGGTCACCGAATGCGGAATGTTGGCTAGCCCCTGTCTCTCTTTGAGCCCCAGTACTCTCTGGGCCCCCACCCCGACTCCCCAAACATACATAGACTTTCTCCCATGCGCTGTCAGGGAACCTCGACTCCCGCCCTTTCCCTCCTTAGCAACTGCATCAGGGGCTGCTCTCCCTCTGGGTGACGCATCTAGGGGCGGGGCCCCGCCCCACAGCGAACGCTGAGTTGGCCCGGTTGGGCAAGGCCAGGGTTGCCCGAGGGTGGGTTACTCATCCTGGGCTCAGGTAAGAGGGCCCGGGCTGGGAAGCGGCACACCCAGGGGGACGCCGAGGGAGCAGGACGGAGCCATGGACCGGGCCAGGAAAGCAGGTGCCCAGGCAGGGATCTGGGCTACGGGTTGGCTGCTGCTTCTGCCGCTGCTGCTTCACCAAGGTGGGTCTGCTGCCAGGAGGCGGCGGAGGGGGTAGAGTGGGGGCTTTTAGGGAGGAGGCTGCCCCAGCCCCTTACAGAAAGGGCTGTGGGAAGGATCTCCCACTGTGGGCAGAGAGGACTGTGGAAAAACTTCCCCTGTCCTGGGCAGAGGGGCTATGGGCAGAGTTCTCCCATCCTGAGCAGAGAACGTGAGAAGACATCCTCCCTACCCTGGCACGAGGGGCTCCGTGGCAGGGATCAGCTACGGTGGCCTCACGGGGCTGTGGGAAGGATGCTCCCATCACAGGCATCAGCGCACGAAGGAAAAGGGTCCAATGTATCTCGTGTCCCCAGATTCGTGGGAAGGTTTTCCCTACTTCCGCCCTGGAAAAGTGTGTGCAATAGGATTGTCTCATCCCGGGGACGGAGGGCGTGGGAAGGACTATTTCTCTGCTGAGGGAGGAGGCTTTGCCCAGGATCGCTCGGTTCTACCCGGGGCTCCGCGTCCACAGGAGCGCAGGCCCTGGAGTGCTACAGCTGCGTGCAGAAGGCAGATGACGGATGCTCCCTGCACAAGATGAAGACGGTGAAGTGCGCGCCGGGCGTGGACGTCTGCACAGAGGCCGTGGGGGCGGTGGAGACCAGTGAGTGGGACCCCTGGTCCAGCGCACCCCTCGGGCTCCTGCAGCCCAGCCTTGCCTTCTTACAGTCCTCTCTGAATCCGGCCACACCCCTTCAACGCGGCTCCATCCCTCCTTTCCAGCCTGGCCTGGACCCTTCAACACAGCCTCGCCGCTCGGTCCGGGCCTGGCCTTCTCTCGCAGGGATTGGAGGGGATCCCGGCTGGGACGAGGGTACATTCTAACCACCCTTTCTGCTCCGCCACTGAGACCTCCCTATCCCTGGGTGTCACCCTCTGTCCCCTGGGACGCAGCTCTGTGAGGTTTACTCTATGACCCCGCCCCTCTGTCCTTCTGCGGTTCTTTCCCCTCCGATCTGCTTTCAGGGGCCCCGGCCCGCCGAGCCCAGCCTGTCTGTTCCCAGGTATTGTCCCATTCGAGGCCCCGCCCCAGGCCCCGCCCCTCTGACCCCGCCCCCCCGCTCCCCACAGTCCACGGACAATTCTCAGTGGCAGTACGAGGCTGCGGTTCGGGACTCCCGGGCAAGAATGACCGCGGCCTGGACCTGCACGGGCTTCTGGCCTTCATCCAGCTGCATCAGTGCGCGCAGGACCGCTGCAACTCCAAGCTCAACCTCACCTCGCGCTCGCTCAACCCCGCAGGTCCGTGGGGGCGGGCCCGGGGGCCCGGGGCGGAGCTACAGGCTGGGGGCGGGGTCACGCTCTAGGAGGGCGGGGCCAAAAGGCAGCAGAAGGGGCTTCATTGCCGGAGGCAAGCGGAGGTTGCACGCTGGAGGCGGGGCTATGAGCGAGTGGGCGGGGTCACCGAGGGAGTGCGGTCACGCCCTGGGGGCGGGGCTAGAGGCCGAGCCGCTGTTCCCGAGTCCTCTGACCCCTTCCCTTCCTGGCTGTCCCCCGCAGGCAATGAGAGCGCCTACGATCGCAACGGCGCCGAGTGCTACAGCTGCGTGGGGCTGAGCCGCGAGGCGTGCCAGGGGACGGCGCCGCCCGTGGTGAGCTGCTACAACGCCGGAGACCGCGTCTACAAAGGCTGCTTTGATGGCAACGTCACCTTGACGGCAGGTGAGGAGCCCCGGAGCACCGGCCCTACAGGAATTGTCGTGGCCTTTCTGAGGCGTCCTGGGCGGTAGGGAGCCCTTTACCCATAGGGTGCCCCGCGTCCGACGCATTCTGGGCACTGCAGGCCAAGTGTCTGTCTGGTAGAGCTTCGATCCCCAACCCCGGGCCGCGGCCTGGTGCTGGTCCGTGGCCTGTTAGGAACTGGGCCGCGCATCGCCGCCTGAGCTGCTCTTCTCCCTTCCTCGCCCCCCACCCCGCCCCCATCCGTGGAAAAATTGTCTTCCCAAGGGCCGCACAGCAGGAGCTGAGTGGCAGGCGAGCAACGCAGCTCTGCTCCCCGTCTCTCGCATCACCGCCTGAGCTCCGTCTCCCTCCCCGTCCCCCTAACCCCCCTTCCATGGAAAAATTGTCTTCTGGTCCCTGGTGCTAAAAAGGCTGGGGACCGCTGTTGTAGAGCATCATGGGAAATGCAGTCTCTTTTCCCAGTATAGCATGGAGATATTGGGGGATATTGCTTTTGTCCTGGAGTTTTCTTGGGGGGCAAATGCATTTCCATAGAGGACTGCCAGGTACAGAACAGGAAGACGTGCCATGGAAACGTATTTAAGCCTCTCAGCTTCTGCCCAGGCACCGAGAGGAATCTAGTTCTGAGCCCTTAAAACTCGAGGGGTCCCCACCTGTTCCAGAGTATTAGGAGAGAGGTGGTTCCTGGCCCCTACCTCAGGGAACCATGGGAGTGCTTCAAACCCCATCCTCTGCCAGGTGAACTATGGGAGATATAGTGACTCTAAGACTGAATTTTGGTGGGGACATTGGAGGGGGGTGAGAGGTGGGGAGAAACGGTGAGAGGGATGTAGGGGAAGGTTGTTCTGCCCTTTGGTCTCGTGAGAAGTGTTGTGTCCCAGACCAAGACTTTGTTCCAAGGCACACTTGTAGTTCAGCCTGCACAATTTCCCTCTCAAAGCACTATGGGAAATATGGTCCACCAAGTGCCAAAGACAGTGTGTCTGTTTCTCAAGTGGGGCCTGAGTTGAGATTTTTGGGTTAACAGATGCAGAGCCCCTCTGTCCTTTTTGGGGGTTCTCTGCTCTTGTCTGCCCCTGATGCCCCTAAGTTTCATTCTGACTATGCCAACTTCCCTCCCTCCAACCACTGACCTATCCGTGTCTCCCTCCTGCAGCTAATGTGACTGTATCCTTGCCTGTCCGGGGCTGTGTCCAGGATGAGTCATGCACCCGGGATGGGGTGACAGGCCCGGGGTTCTTACTCAGCGGCTCCTGCTGCCAGGGGTCCCGCTGTAACTCCGATCTCCGCAACAAGACCTACTTCTCGTCTGGAATACCACCCCTTGTTCTTATGCCCCCTCCAAAGCCCACCACTGTGGCCTCAACCACTTCTGTCACCACTTCCACCCGGGTGCCAACTACCTCCACCTCCACCACCAAGCCCCCCCCAGCCCCAACCAGCCAGACCCCTCCAAAGGAAGGAGAGCTTGAGGGATCGAGGAAAGAGGAGTCCAGCGTGGCTGGAGGCGCCGTTGTCCACCAGGACCGCAGCAATTTGGGGCAGTACCCCACAAAAGGTGGGAGCCAGCAGCTCCCTAATAAAGGCTCTGCAGCTCCCGCGGCAGGGTTGGCGGCTCTACTGTTGACCGTGGCCACTGGTGTCCTACTATGAGCTTCTCCACCTGGAAACTTCCCTCTCACCTGCTCCCCTGGCCTTGCCCCCCACCTCTTCCCATGACTTCCCTATCCCGCCAGTGGACTGGGCTGGCCCAGCCACTAGACTTCCGTCCGATGTCTCCCAGTATCCCCAGCTTCCGCTGCACTGGTTTGCGGCTTCGGGAAATAAAGTCACTGTTGTATATGTCCTGCTGGGATGTTCTAGCTTTTCGAGGGCAACAACTGTACCCCACTCATCCTTGTCTCCCCCTGGCTCCCTCGTGATGCCTAGGACAGCATGAGGAAAGTCAGCTGTCACAGGAAAGGTGGGAGGGAGGATGACAAGCTTCCCTTATTCACTTTCTCAGGCCAGCCTGGAATGTGGGGGGCGGGTGGGGCACTGGTCCCCCCATCTTCCTGGGAGTCGGTTCCTCCTCCATCTTCCTTACTAGACTGTGAGCTCCTCCAGGGCAGGGACTGTGCCTTATGCCTCTGTGTGATCAGTTTTCTGGCACATACGGGCTTCAATAAAGACTTAATTACTTTGTATAGTGCCTTAAAGGAGTAATTTCCACCTCATTTCTCACAATAACCCCTTGAAGCTGAGCTAGGGCGGGCATGCCGAGGCCTTTAACAGGACAGAGGAGCTGAGACCCAGAGCCACAGCCCTGGGGGACGTGGTCGGGGTTGATCTCCCTTAATCTCCTGGGGTCTAGCCAGCTTGTGGGTGGTCCAGCGGGTGAAGGGGAGTTAGGTGAATGCAGTAAGCAGCATTGAGGGGTGAGTGGGGCTTTTAGCAACACTAGGGAGCAGAGGCAGGCTGCGTCTAATCTGGATTTGTGCACCGTCCCCAGGCCCCGCCCTCTATGCCATCCACCTGGTTTATTAAGGATCATTTTGGGGCGTTCACCTGCTGCATTTGCGTAAAAGTCCTGAGAGTGCCGCTGTCACTCTTTGCCTGGTGTTGGGGACTCCTCCAGCTCCTCCAGTCAGATGAAGGCCTGGCCCTAGCGGTCCCAAAGGGGAAAAGCGTGGCTTGGGTATGAGGCTTTGAGACCGCTTGATGTGACGGGATCAGATGTGGGGCATAGTGAGATAATAATAGTAATATTGCCAATATCCTATTAATAATGGGGAACAGTATGAAGTACTAACAACATAACAATAGGAAATAACGATTATAGTTACAAAGCAGAGGATTAGTGAGCGCATGAGCTCCTACTGTATACTACACGTACTGTAGGCATGTACAATGTAACATCAGTAATAGTAACTACAGACACAGAACGTTAGTAAGTCAACAACGTCTTACCAGATGCCAGGCCTGTGCTATCGGCGTTTGCATCCATCATCTCATTTAATTTTTCACATAAATCCTCAGATGGGATGATTGGGGAAACTGAGGCTCAGAACAGTGAAGTAATTAACCCACGGCGAGTAATCCATTAATTATGTGCCGGGTACTGTTTTCAGTGCCATACTTGGATTAATATATTTAATCTACACAACGATCCCATGAGGTAAGTATTAATCATCTGCATTTTACAAGCTGGCAACATTAGGCCCAGAGAGATTGAGAAACTCGCCCTAGCCACCCAGCTAATAAGTAGTGGAGCTCGGGTTTGAACCCAGCCCAACCTAGACTGCCATGTAACATTTCCCTCCCTTTTCTTAGAGCATTTACTTAAGAAAACTTGTCATTGTAAATTCTTTCTCTGCCCCTTTGAGATGTATATAAATTTCTCTAGAAGTCCCTTAGCAGTTTACACCCCAGGAAGTGTCTTTCTCTAGGAGTGGGAACGATTTCTTTGAAATGTAAACACCAAAGGAGACAGCACAGTTTCTCCGGGAAGGCGAGAGCCTAACCCGGGTAGGTGTCTTGCTCTACGTTGTAAAAGTATCTCCTATCATGAATGTACAAGAAAGTTCCCTTCCCCTCTGGGTAAAGCAATTAGCAAACACTGTCGTTTTCACTCTGGCTCCTGAAAACCCTAACATGCTTTGTTTCAGCAGAGTTGAGTTCAGGTTTTCCCTGCCTGTTTCTCATTGTCTGGTGCACTTTTGCTGTGACCAGCACGAGCTGTTAAGCTGCTGTTAACCAGCGTGTTACACAGGTTCGGACTGAGAGCTTGGTCACCCAGCCTGTTTCCGCCACCTCCCTGGTGCGGGTGAGAGTACGTCTGGGTTTCTGAGGGTGTCGAGGCTGGAAATCCTCCTTTCATCGCCTCTGTTGCGTGGGGGCTTTTTTCTCTTCTTTGGGGGAAGTTCCAAAGCGGGGAATAGACACTTTAGGATTCTTCCTCTTGCACCGCTCAGCCTGGGGCTGCCAACCTGGAGGCTCCTCTCTGCTCCCCCACACCCCAGTGCGTCCCGCCTCCCTGCTTCCTGCCGAGGCCTGGGTTGGGTGATGCCACAGTCTCAGAGCTGAAGTGCAAGTTAAAGGATAATATTTTTAAGAAGGTAAAATCACCAATCTCGCACAGATATAAAATAAACACGTGTCAAATATTTATCTCACTGAATTAATGAGGGAACTGGTAAAATATTGCCACTAGTTCAAAGGAAATTCAAAGAATGCGTGTGCATAGGCAATGAGACATGCGGAAATAAATGTATAGGTGGATGTAATACTGGCCAATATGCCATGCCCCCTGCCAGACCTCTAGGGAGGATCCTTCTATCGTACCTCTTCCAGCTTCTGGCAGTCCCAGGTGTTCTGGGCTCGTCGAGGCCTCACTCCAATCTCTGTCCAAATTGCCTCTTCTTATCAGGATGCCAAGTCATATTGGATTAAGGCCCACTCTGATGACCTCATCTTAATTAAATCTGCAAAGACCTTATTTCCAAATAAGGTCACATTCACAGGTACTGGGTGAGGGTTAGGACTTCAACATACCTTTTTTGGGGGGAGGAACAGGATTCCACCCATAACAAGGACACGGTGTAGAATGGAGGTTCAGAGCCCACGCTTGTGCCAGATGATGCCAGTTTAAATCCCAGCTCTGTCCCTACTCTGTTCCCTGTACTACCACTGTAATGTCACTCTAGGTGAAATTGTGCCGGGGAGTTCTGTCTTAAGCCTCAGTTTCCCTATCTGTGAAATGAGGATAGTAATAGTTCCTGCCCATAGGACTCTCGTGAGGCTTGAACCTGATCATGTAAGTCAAGTACAGTGTCTGGCATGAAGGAAGTGCTCCACACATAGGGAACCAAAGCATATAGGCAAAACGGAAGTATAATTTAGTCAATGAAAAAAAGAATGCTGAAATAAGATTGCAGAGTTAGATGCAACAGAGTCTGGCTCTGTTGCCCTGGCTACAGTGCCATGGCATCAGCCTAGCTCACAGCAACCTCAAACTCCTGGGCTCAAGCGATCCTCCTGCCTCAGCCTCCCGAGTAGCTGGAACTATAGGTGTGCACTATCGCACCTGGCTAATTTTTCAATTTTCAGCAGAGACGGGTCTCTGAAAACTCATTCATGTTGCTTAGACATTGGGCCAGCTGCAACTGGGTGGGGGTGTGACGTCCCCCCACCCCTTCTCCCTGGAGGAGGAGTCTCACCCAAACTCAGTTTCTCAATGGGCTAATTGCTCCCTGCTCCAAGAGGAGTAGCTTTAACAGTCCATGGGCCTCAAGCTTGAGTGATTATAAACAGCTGGCACTGAATCTGGCTTTCATGGCGGCCACACAGACTGTGCGTTCTTGAGAAGGTGGCTGTCATGCTGGGAGAGGTGTAAAGGAGTGAAGAGTTCTCCACACACACTGGTGTCCAGCGGCTCTGCCTGCCCATCCCCTTCTCCCCCACCCCCTGTCCCTTTCCAAAGGGATGGTAGGAGGAGCTTTGGGGACAGTTGAGAAGACATGCCATAGGACAGTAGGCAAGTGAATGGACTCTGAAAGGGCCCACTGGAGGATTTGAATTTAACCAATGTAAAGTCATGAATTTAAAGTAAGACTTTTCAGCAGGGTTGTGTGAATTTTCTCCAGCTTTGGTCACTTACCTGGGTACAGGCACTGAGTGGGTAAAATGTTGCATATTGATCGCTAGATTGCCCTGTGACTAGGACGAAGTTGGGAAGTTGAGAGTGTGTGCAAAAGAGTGATTATAACAATTAAGAATGGAATTTAGGGCCAGGTGTGGTGGCTCACGCCTGTAATCCTAGCATTCTGGGAAAACAAGGCAGGAGGATCACTTGAGGTCAGGAGTTCGAGACCAGCCTGAGCGAGAGCGAGAACCCCGTCTCTGCTAAGAATAGAAAAATTAGCCGGGTGTGGTGGCACACGCCTGTAGACCCAGCTACTTGGGAGGCTGAGGCAGGAAGATGGCTTGAGCCTGGGAGTTTGAGGTCGCAGTGAGCTATGATGATGCCACTGCACTCCAGCCTGGTTGACAGAGCAGGACTCTGTCTCAAAAAAAAAAAAAAAAGTCAACTACTCAGTGTATTAGGAATAGGGAATCTGAACATTTGGCAAGCATCATTATAATAATTGGTTCAGGTACGCATCACTAATGGGTGCTAAAACCAGTGGGTGCAAATTCGAGGAGTAACAGGATATGCATTAATAATACGTTGTCTCGAATTATCTCCCCACAAGATACTTGTTAATTACACAGAGGGAAACAGTGATATAAAATAGGAAAAACCTGGCAAACTCCACTTGAACCAAGTGATCAGAATTAACCTCACTAGTCACGGGACAAACAGGCATCCGGTGCCTGATAGGGGCGTGGAGAAAGGACGCAGCGTCACTTCCGGGGTACTCAGCAAAACACGTGTAACCTGAAACTAATCATGTGGAAACATCAGACAAGCCCCAGCTGAGTGACATTCTATAAAAATATCAGTATCACGAAACACAAATAATGGGGATTCTATTCCAGATGAAAGGGGACAGGCAGAGCATGATCTAGGATTTTCTTCTGCTACATGAGACATTCCTGCAGCAATTGACAAAGTCTCAAAGTCTACAAATGAGATCATTTATGTTCCAGGCTAATTTCTCGAGTTCGATAAATGCACTATGATTATGTAACAAAATGTTTTTGTTTTAAGGACATGCACACTGGTGCCTATTTATGGGTAAAGGGGCAATGTCTGGCAATGACTTTCA